TCCTAATCTAAACATATACAATTACAAACTAAAATAGAAAAAAATCTTTAGAAAAAGAAATTTTCCTATAGACGAACGAACTATATGCGCCCGTATTTTTACTAAAGTCTTTTCATGTTTCTTCATTCTTTCATTATTGATAGTAAATAGTCATAAAAGAAAATTTGAGTGATCATGCATTAAAGAAGTTTGCTTTTGCTTAGTAATGGACATGGCCAGCCAACGGTCACCTTTGCATTCGACTATTTGAAATTACAAAAGTGAAAGAAAATTATCTCTGCAATCGACGAATTAACGAACATTTTGCAAGTTATGAGTGATATAGTCCCCATTTTTCTTTCATCATTTATATATAAAATAAATTTGTATGATTTTAAATCTTGTTAAATTGTATTTTTTCTCTGAAAGATTATCACTAATTCCAATGTACATTCGTTGTGAGAATAAAACTTGATTACTTGAACGATAGAACTACTCGTAAATTAGGGAAAAGATATATTTTTATCACGATAGTTAAAAAGATTTCAGATTCTCAAACCTTCGACTTTGAAACGTGAAAAAGGTGAAATTGCGTAACGAACAGTGTTTTTAGTATTTTTTTTTTAATTCTATGTAATGATAGTTGTTAGTAAACAGCGTGATATTATAATAGCTTGTAGTGGACGTAAGATGGCTATTTATATGTCACTTCGATTCGTAGTAAAATGCTCAACTTTCATATCGCCCTCAAAAAAGATTCCATTTTTTGAAATTCTCTAACGGTCACTATTTTTGGACTAAACCCCTCTCCAGAATAAAAGGGCATGGCCTTATATTGCGTCTTCGCACATCGTTACTTTTTGGGTGGCCTTCTATTGAGGTTAACTTTTGACCAATTATTAATTAATATTTAGGAAAAATTAAATATTTTTATAATTAATTTATTTATTAGTGCATGACCTTCTAATAGGGCTGATGAACTTTTGTTCAGACATGGTCTTCTAATGGGGGTGACCCTCTAATATGGGGTGGCCTTTTATTTTTGGGAGGGGCTTAGCTTAGCTCTGACTTAGAAAAAAATCGTTAAGCAGATATAGGTGTGACAATGTAAAAGAAAAATAAAATTCTGTAACATTTGGCCATACGCCCTAATTTTTTTTTTGATATGAAAAAATTAGTAATTATATCAAATCTTTTTTCAATATTAAATAGGCATAAACGCAACACAAATCGAATTGATTTGAAAGTTCTTTTACTTCTCGTTCGTATAAATTCCAAAATTGATCTAGTAATGTTTCGACTTCTTCGTCTAAACAATGATTATTTCTTTCTAATGTTTCTCGTAATGATGGTTCAGTCCAACTACGTAAAAATCGAGTGTGGTCTTTTACAAATTCATCCAATGTTAATTCTCCTTGTTGAAATCGAGTAAATGTATCTGTTCTAGTATCACACAATTCAGACTTGATTAATTTCAATGAAAACTTTTTAAATAAATCATAATTAATGTATTCTTCATACGTACGGTAATACAATGGATAAGTATAATCGAGTAATTCTTGTTGTGTAATCGGTAATAAAGTTGCACATTTGTATAAAAGTTGAAAAAGAATTTCAAAACCAAATAATCCTTTATCATTTAAACAAGGAAAACAAAGAATAAGTACACCACCAGGAATAAGTTCATTTGAACGATATTCCAAAAATCTTAAATAATCAAGATGAGCTTGTTGTTTAAATATATCATATTCATCATTTGAACAAAATAATGAGACAATGATTCGATATATTACATGGATTACATGACATCCATTGCAGTGACGCAGAGAGTAGCCGATAGATAGAGAATTTGATGGAAGACATNCCGCGCCGCGGTTCCTGATATCATATTACTTTAAACTCTCTTCGTGTCTGGGGGGGGCTGTTGTTGGGGGGGGGGGGGGGGGGGGTGCGGGTGGAGCCCCCCCCCCCAGCCACCCCCTGGCTGCGCCACTATTTAGATTTCTCTCAACGGCACAACAAACAGTGAATATTGTTTTAAATTAAATCCTTTTCGTTCTTTTTTTATTTTAGGTTCATCTCGACATCAACGGCACAACCAACAGTAAGTATTATTTTAAATTAAATTGTTTGTTTTCTTTGTTTTTAGGTTCATCTCAACGACACAACGAATAGTAAGTGTTCTTTTAAATTCAATTCTTTTTTTTTGTTTAGGTTGATCTCAGTCTCAACAGCGCAACAAACAGTGAATATTGTTTGAAATTAAACCCTTTTTCTTTTTTATTTTAGATTCAGCTCAACGGCACAACGAACAGTAACTTTTTTTTAAATAAATAATGTTTTTTTTTTATTTTAGGTCAATATCAATGTCGAACTGAACAGTAAGTACCCATGCAGACAAGTAAATGCATAAAATGGTGTTTCAACGCGTTCATGCAGAAAAAAACGCTGTATAACTGGTTTACATCATGTATTAGAAAGCACAACTCGTTTATACGAGTTTCTCTCGACGTAAACAGATTTTAATACGTTTAATATGCAAAGTTGATGATTTGATGCGTTTTAATGCAGAAATCAACTCGTTTTCATGCATTATGCACATGCAATGTGGTAAATGAACAGTAACTCGTTACAACTTGATTATTTTTCTTTTTTCTAATAACAACGAGTTTTATCAATTATCGTTGCAGATGAATAACAGTTGAACGTGCTGTTTCAACGCGTTCATATGGAAAATTGCACAAAAAAAACGTTTTATAATAAGTTCTAATGCTCATAAAAAAAGAACTGGTTAAAATGAGTTTCTTCTCGAATAAAAAAATTTTAGCACATTTTGTAGACTAAATTGATGATTTGATTCGTTTTAATGCAGAAATCAAGACATCTTTATGCATTCATAAATACGAAATGAAATCAACGAACGATTACTCGTTGAAATTTTTCTAGAATTTGTTTTTCTAATTATAACGAGTTTCACTGATTAGATCATGCATGCTGCAGCATAGTTAGAACAATAACATAAATCATCTTGATAATCAGAAATACTAAGAACTTTTATGTACTAGAACGAAGATTAGGAAACTGAAAAAAAAACATGGATTTAACAATAGGTGGAAAATTTAAATCTGTTCCATATCTGAAAGCAAGCTTTTGAATCAAAAATTTATAATGAACAGCTTCAATTGACGATCCATGAGGTGTTCCATAAAGCACATTTGTGCACTTATACACTCGATCATTGATAGACAAAGTATCCGCTGTTGAATATAAGATGACAGGCCGCATGATGAGAGAGAATTCATTATTGTCAATTAAATGAATTGTTGTTTCTAAAAATCCGATTGTTGGTGTATCATTCTTATCGTATACAATGCAGCCATCGTGTGTCGAACGATGAATATTGATCGAATCAGCTGAATAACGTTGATCATGGACTACAACAGTTTTGTATAACACATATGATCGATCACCAGCATATTTGATAACAAAATCTGACACATCTGTTTCGAGAGAAGTTATAGGCACTTTTTTATATGCTCGAATTTGATGACGATTATGATGATTCAAATCTGATATTTGTCTAGGTATGGAATAGCGCATGTTAGAATGAATTTGATGATCAAAAAGTCGCATTTCAGGAGGAAATGAAGAATCCTTTGTTGCCAACCACGTTTGTTGAAGAAGATCAATGTTTTTTAACAATTCAATTGTTGGCCGATTGCCATTATGTACTGTTCTAGTTAGAGCAGCTATATAATTAGAAAACAAATAGAATACGAAAACATAATTATCAAAATGTTGCTTCTTGGAAATCAGACTAGTAACATAGATGAAAATACAAAAGACAGTGGACTGCGTATCCTCAAGATAGTTTTACTCAATGTTCCACATTCATTTTTTAACGCTTAACTCTATTTTTCGGTAAAATATATTGTGATACTTACCAACAACTGATTCGAATTCAAAGGTCGAATAGTTATGAGCAGGACCATATTTTTTAATACTGCGTGGAAAATGGCTAAGTGCGTGTACTACTGGTTTCGCTTGCTGCTTCTAAAATGATATAGCAAGTCACTATTTCCATTTCAAAGGTAAAAAATGACAGATATACTGTATATAAACTTTCGAAGCGTTTATCAAATTCTTGAAGAAGATCCAATACTTCAAAATAGGTCGATTGATCATGTTTCGCTGATGCAATTAAATGTGCAGCAAACGCCAAATATCGAAAATGATCATATCTTTCACGTGTAAGAATATGTTCCAATGTACTATAAGAAGAGAATTAGAGCACAATAAAATAAATTGGGAAAATATTAGAAAAACTCACGAGTAACCGAATAATAAAAATATTTTTAATTCATTTGCTTTATAGATTGCATGAAGCTTTATATCTCTCGGTATTCGAAAAGTGGATGAAGGATAAAACATTGATTTAAATGCCGAAGAAATGGCACCAAGAGATTTTTTAACACTCATTGCTTGAGTTATACCGGATTTTTTCGACACATTTCCGAAAAATATTCGCAACATTCGAGCCTTAATATAGAGTAATTCAATCGCACGACTAAATATATGATGATTTACACAGTACTCACTGTAACTCCTTCATACAATGTGTGAAGAGTATCAGATGTGAATGACTGATACACATCGAAATGTTTCAGAGCTCTAAGTACACAAGAACCTTTCAGACCATCCAAATCGTTATTGATGGAATTTATTGATGCACGTCTTCTTCGTCCTAATGGTTTCTAAACAACATGAGATATAAAAAGTAGAAAGATATCAAATGTGTTTTGCTCAGTCTTACTTTAAGTATTCGAATTGCTTCGTCATATGAAGCATTAGAACGTGGTTCAGCATCATTGTTGTTTTCATACACGAATACACGAGCATAACCATCTCCTACTTGAACGTTTTCTCCTAATTTTAAAAAGAAAAAGTTTACGCAATAATCTCCCCTACATCTTTAATTCAATATTTTGTTTTGTACATCATTCTATATATCATGCTTTACATAGGAATCAATAGTAAAGTTAAAACACATACCTATGATTTTACAATGTGTACATCCGAAATACGCGTTTGCTTCTGTGTGGTTTATAAGAAGAGAAGTTGCAGGCATGTCACAGGTGGCTGCAATCAAATAGGCACGTACCACTTTTTCAATATGAGAAGCAGAGTCGAGAGGATTATACCCAACACCTTTATTTTCAAGATAAACTAATTGTTTAACAAGGGTACCTAAGAATATTTGCATTTCATCTTTTTGTGGTTTTGACGATCCAATCGATAACATCCCAATGATTAAATATTCTCACGATTAAATCTAACACTTGGTGAAAGTTCATTTATTACAAATGTAGTAATCCAAATAGATCGAGAAATTGATTTGACCACAGCACCATCTGAATTTATTAAAAGTGTGATGAAAGGATTTGGTTCCGTACTTAATAATTTGCGATAAAAAGAGGAATCAACAATATCAGTAATAACAGTTTCATTATCTTTTGGTTTGATTAAGTTATTTCGTTCAAGAACGGATCTTATTTGTGGTTCCATATGAAGAGTATGATTTATAGTAGGATTCATAATGAACTTGTCTCTATTTATACATGTTGGAGATGATGTGCAATAAACTGAATTCGACGAAACCTTGTGACACGATGGACATAAAACTAATATTTCTTCGGAAATTGTACTTTGATAAGGTTTACAAATAAGAGAACGGACCTGACGAAAATCTGATGGACAGTTAGGAACACGAAGCAGTTTTAACAGTTTGCAGATATTTGATATACATGTGTTGGTTAACGAATGTCTTGATTTCAAAAGTGACAGGGCAGATGCAATTTCCGTAGAAGTAAAATCACGATCGGTACGGTTTTCAGAGCCGTTGAATAAATCATCATCGTCTGCATCAACAGATGAATCTTCATCATCACTTTTTATTATGAATTTTTCTTTCTCATTGTCCTCATCGACATTGTCATTGGAAATAAGATCTTGGATGATTTCTTCACCATCTTCAACTTGTTTTGCGTTATTTGAATTAGTAATTGGTTGATTTTCATTTAATGGATCTTCTTGATTTATATTAATTTCGATGTTAGACTTAGATTGTGAAACATGTATATGCTCATCAGAAATATTTAATGATCCGGATGACATAGATAAACTAAGATTATCAATAACTTTATCATTATTTTGTGCTACGACTTGAACAGATTCGAGAAAAGGTTGTGTGGGGATTTGTTCACAATGTTGATAAACAAGAGAACTATAAAGATTAGGAGTGAATAACAACAATATCTTTATAGATTCAAAATAACAAACGTTTCTACCTCATATTTGAAGCAACTGTTTCTAAAACTATTTGCCGTTGAATACGAGCTAAACGTTGATTATTTCGTCGCTGCGAAGAACGACGCACCGTGTCGATATTTCTACGCGAATGGAACATTAAATCTAAGTATGCAATGGCATATTATTAACAAAATACTGCAGTATTATATTCGTTGATAAATTTATCACTACCAACAAGTCGACTCAGGTTATGTAAACTTTTTCTTCACATGTTTTGATGAACATTTGCATGAACATTAACTTTTATTAATGACATGATTATTATTCTTTTTAAGAAGATTTTTTTTATTAAATGTGTAAACACTATGAATAGTTTCTGTACTTTATTAAATTAGTTATTCTTAAGATGAGTAACAACAAATAGAAATGCACATTGAAAGAAAAAAATGAAAATGAAATAATATAAAAAAGAAAACAATGGTAACACATATGGCCTGACTTTACAAATAAATAACACCTTTTTTTAAATGTTTTTATACACAAAAAAACAAAACATATGTACATATATGTATATAAACATTTTGGTTTTCGAAAAAAAGATAATAAAAAAAAACAAATACTCATGCATACGTGCATAGTATAAATGACGATGTTATAGATCGAATTAGAAGTAGATAAAGCACAAAAACAGTAACAAAAAAGAAGAGAAGTTAAGAAATACAAAAAACTTCAAGTTTTAAATATACTAACATAGTTAAATTATGCTTTTCCTTTATATTTCCTTTCTCTACTATAAATTAAAAACTGTCGTCACTATCACCTCTTCTCCCTAATAGTGTTTCATTCGTATACGTATTTCCAATACCTGTTGGAATTTCATTGACTGGATTAATATGATTTTCATCTCGCAACTCCATTTGATTACCATTATTTCTTCCAAGAAGAGCCGTTGCTTGATTCATTGAACCTGTCAATTTTCGCCAATGATGCCGCGCTCCACGTATACTGTTACTTAAACCATCACGTAACTCTTGCATTTTGTAAGTGGAACCTGGTGATGCTCGTTGAGCAAAAGCTAAATGAAACATAAATGGTTATATATAGTAATTATTTTATATTGATAATTTCTTTTAAAATACTTACTTAATAAGGTTTGAAGAAGACCAGGTCTCTTAATGTCCAAATTTTTTACTGAACCTAACTCTACTTTAGCTTCATAGCCAGGATATAGATGATTGAACACGTTCAATGCTGTTTGTTGAGGAGTAACATCTTTTAACCCCATCAAAAAGACTGGATTTTCGCCTAAATCACGCGCCAGTTGATCATCAGATCGTGGATCTGCACGTCCGCCAGACTGTTGGATTAGGGTAACCATGTCAACTAAATAACTCAGTGCAGGTGCTGGAGGACGAGCTAAAAAAAGAGACAAAAATCGATATAAAAAGAAATAGGATCAACTTACGAAAAGATTGTTCCTGTAATTGTTCGTAGTTCATTTTGAGACGGGCAAAATCTTTTGACCAAATTTCACATTTCTTACGCTCGTTGTTAAAAGCTTTAACTAATCGACGAAATTCTGAAAATCGCGTCAGAATATCATATGTTTCCTTCGGGATAGAATCGACAGAAAATGAATCATTGTAAGAATCAGTTAAGCTAATACTAGTTTGTTCACGACGAGACGAACGCATGGGTGTTGAAGTACGGTAATTGATGTTAAAGTTTTCATTTGAATCTCGTTCAGATCGATCGACGGAAACAATAATTCGAGAAGTTGAGGGCTGTGAACGAATGTTCGTAGCGTATGGACTTTTGGTTGAACGATTGACGATAGGTGTTCTACAAATATAAAAATACTGGTCTTAATATTCAAATATTTTTTCTCTTCAAATTCCGACAGTAAACGAATTTCATACAATTTTTTCTTTATTTAGTCGTTTCAAAAAAGACATGTTACTCTACCAGAAAAAGAAAAGCGTAAGAGTACATTTATTCATTTGATTACTAGATGAATTTTTTATGATGCGAAACTTTCTTTCTTTTAAAAACAAAAACATATATTTTTCCGAAGTGAAAAGTTTGTTTTTAAGTACAGGTCTTTTTTCTAATAAGTAAAACAAAAAACTTACAAACTCTGTTCAGTTGGACGCTCTTTACTCGATCGATCGATATCACCAGAACGATTTTCAACAGATGTATAACGTGATGAATTCTTTGATATATAACTTTCCGTTGTATGAATAGAATTTGATGTAGCACGTGGTACACGTTCTCCAACTGGTTCACTCGGCGGAAAATAATCAGATAAAACTGTTTGTGAAGCACACGCTTCTTTACTAGAATCAATAATTAAGGATGGTGGTGTGTTTTCTTGGTTATTAATGTTTTTGTATTGATCAAGTGAAACAGGTATCAATGTTTTAAATATCGGTTCATCATCTAAACAAAAAATATTTACGAAATACAAATAGAAGAAACTTTTTAATAATTACCAGGACTATTTTCGACATTTTTATGAAACAAATGTTTGCTTGCACATGTCTTCTTGTTCTGACCTCGTTTACTCGATGGTAAATTAATTTCACATAAATCAGTATCATTATCATTGATGTTCATTGAACGTGTTTTTCTTTTAGTCATAATCAGAAAGTATTCTATTAGTATAATTGATAAACAATAGTAAATTTAAATGGATAGACGAAAATCGTTGTTTACAATAATGCAAGGCAATCTAAAACAATAAATACTAAAGCAAACAATACATGCCTGTGTTTAATTCGTCCGGAAGAATAATGATACGCATTTACATTATAACTGCTGTATTTATATCCAACTATGAAACTTTGACTATAATAAAGCTGAACCGAAACGTTTATATTAAAGCAAACAAACGACCCCGATCTCAATGTATTTCTTTAACATTTATTTTTATTGTCCTTATATATTAAGGTTGATAATTCAAATCAATAAACAATAGAAACGAAAAATTAAGAAAAAATAATAAGAGACAAGAAGTAGAAATAAAATTAAAAAACGGGTAGATGAAAATATGGATACGATAGCATTTAGGAGAAGAATAGGATCATGAGGTTACATAGGCGCTAACTAATGACCTCTCCAATTATATAAGGAATAGAATAGAGCATGAAGAACACGATCTCAATGTATCTCAGTATATCGTCTCCAAATAAAAGATAATACGACCAGGAAAACCTCCAGAGGTTCATATTTTCGTCCACTCACTTTCAGATGGTTTTCTATTGCGACGCAGATCTTTATATATTATTTCTATGACAACAATGATCATCGAGTAAAGTTTGATTAAAATATTAAAGATACAGAAAACAATATACATGATAAGTCGGACGAATCTTTCAAGTCTTTATCGATCAGTTACTGTGTTATCATTAAAAGATAGTAACGAATAGAAAGTTTACATTGATAGACAGCTTACATAGTAGCTCAGCTTTATCTTTGTAGACTCTGTTGATTCGGTAGAAATATTTTGATTTCTAAACAGGTTTTGAATTGAAATCATATATAAATGATTTAAATATAAACAGATATTATTGAGAATATGTGAGGTAGTGAAATAGAGATTGCTGTTTATTGACTTGGAGTTTATTGGCTTGGTAGCTTATATGATCAGTTCTTCCGTAGCAGAAATTTTAGTAACCTTCTCTTTGCTTTTCTATCTCTATCATTTGACTCTGAAGAATTTTCCAATAATCTATAATCGTTGCTAGGATTAGTGAAGGATGATTCCAGCTCGTGAAACGTGATACTAAAAACGTTATTAAGATGCAATGTTTACTAGTAAATAACCCACTCCTGTAAGATTGATGGAAAGAAAAATCAAGAATCGAAGAGAATAGAGAAATCGCGCATTTTCATTCTGTTCAGAAGAATGAACTCTACTACACGACGGTCAACAATCGAGCAGCAACTAGTGAGTGATACTTTTTAACACTTTATTCTATTGTGAAGATAGTAAGAAAAATTCCTTGAAATAAAGAATAGGATCACATTCTAAGTATAGAATCATTGAGTACCTCATCACTGAAGGCATCAGTCCGCTCTTATTCATTTCAAGGGATTTTTCTTACTATTTTCACGATAAAATAAAACGTTAAAAAAGTATCATTTGCAAGTTGGTGGTCGATTGTTGACATTCGATAGTACAGAGTTCATTCTTCTAAATAGGATGAAAATGCACGATTTCTCTATTCTCTTCGATGCCTGATTTTCTTTCCATCAATCTTACAGGAAGTGGGTTATTTACTAGTAAAAATTGCATCTTACTAACGTTTGTAATATCAAATTTAGTGAGCTGAAGTCATTTTCACCAGTTTTATTTGGAATATTATTTTCATTGAAAACATTTGAAGTATTCAGTTTTAATGTTTCTATAAAGCAATACGAGAAACTAGAGATATATCAAATGAATTAAACTGTCATTAGTATAAACGGAATGTACACAGTCAAAAATGTCCGAAATTTGGGGTTTTAATGGGTTTATATGGACAACGGAGAAAAACGATTTGATTAATATTGTTATAACAGCACTGAAAAGTTATAAAATGGCACTGTTAAAACGCCAAATTTCGGACATATTTGACTGTGGGAAACGAATCAAAAATCAGAAAAATAAGAATTGTTTTAACGCATCAATTTCAGAATTTTGACTGCATGGGTACTTATCTAAATAAATAATTTGTTTTCTTTATTTTAGGTTATTACAAACGTCGAATTCAACAGTAAGTATTTATTGGTTTAAATAATTTTTATTTTTTATTTTTAGATTATTACCAAGGACAAATCAAACAGTAAGTATCAATGAATAAAAATGGGCTGTCCAGCCTGACCGGAGGTTTCAATTCTTTTTTTCTCCTGCAACTTCTATGATGTAGCAATAAAATATGATTTTTTTACGAGTTGTAGTGCTCGTATAACGCTGCTTGAATCAACAGCACTATAAGGGTACTATAACTCGTGAAAAAATCATATTTTATTGCTATATCATAGAAGTTACATGAGAAAAAAGAATTGGGACCTCCGATCAGGCTGGACAGTCCAAATATAAGTTTTTCCACTATTTGGAGAATGGGAAGAGGGGGGGGGGTATGAGAAGTCTAGGGAAATACGGTGGCAAACGACGTTGTATACAACCGTGTACGATCGTTTACGATGGTCGTATACACGTCGTATTTCGTCGTATACGACACGACGAAATACGGTCGTATACGATCGTAATTTACACTGTATACGACCGTACACGATCGTTTACGACTATCGTAACGCTCGTCCTGGGTTGTTCTTGAAATAATCGAGCAATCGACAATTCTTCTAAAAAATTCACATTGTGCAATAGAGTTACATTGGAAAACTGATATCATCATAGGTTGATGATTCAAGAGCGTCACATACCTCTTAAGTACTGATAAATAGTGTAGAATGAATAACTTATAATACTGATCTTGCGAAGATTAGGATATTGTCTAGCGAGAACAATACGTCTCATCTACCATTGATCAGCTATAAGTATTTCCAAGTTTTGATGTATTTGAGGTAATATATGATAGCAAAATCGGTAAATTATAGGATGGTTAACTGACGGAAATCTACGATTCGATGATATATTTGAGAAGTCTAAAGATTTTGTGTGATTGAGACTTCTTGCCATTTTATCAAGTCTTTTGCTTACTTCCAATAATAAATAAAGAACCTCAATGGAACGAAGTTTTTTCATAATAATAAGTAGAATTGCATTAGATAAATCAAGCAATTGAATAGCCTCATGCTCCATATTAAATAAATGTCTAATCGACTGACGTTTCCGCCTTCGATACTTAATTAGTTTTCCCACGTTTACTGCTGTTCGCAATGTCAACAGTGCATTGTCCTTTGTCGTCTCCAGGAAGTCAATATATGCAATATGATGAAAATCTCCATCTATTGGTTACACAGCCGACTAGACTGCGGACGAACTAGTCATCTTTTTTTCTGTTTTCTCTGTTAGAACAATAAAAGTGACAAGTATCAGCAAACTGTTCTAGCTTTTCTATACAGAACTTGATCTTTACAAGCTTGGCGGTTACACAATAGATAAGGTCTTTTTTGTGTTAAATAGTACATTATAGCGAGACAGTTATGCACACTAGTAGCTGTGTATATGTTAATACTTAATCTCAGAGTGAGCAAAATATTTACATTAAATCACGCAGATCATTGTGTCTGAGAAGCTGGTGATCTACTTTAAATAATTCATGCTCTGTTCACATCCATCCACCCCCATGAACGAGATTATAAACTGCTTGACAAGATTTGAATACCGTTGATGAAATAAGAAAATAGAGAAATACTCTTATTCTTTTCAAAACGTTTTTAGTATCAATAAATGTTGTGCAACAACTTATATAAATGATATTGTACAGTATAAATCTTCAATCAAGTGAAAAATAAAAAAAATGAAGATTATTAAATTAATCTAGTTTTTAGATCCATATTAAAATATTGTGAACAGAATGTAAATCTTTAACGACCACACACGTTGATGGCAATTGATCTTTTAACCATTGAATAAGTTCATTAGTGTTTATATTGTCTCTCTCACGAAATGTCTCATCATTGTTTCTCTTTAAATATATATGGTCTGAATCTAAATACCGTTTTTCACTTCGATAAATACGTAATATTCGAAGATTGACCATATTTTTGACAAGAGTAATGATATCTTCACGATTATTAATTCTAATAGAAAGTATTTCACATTGAATACCTAATAATGAACGAGTTAATAGAAGACATTCATTTTCATTGAAATAATGAGCATAATTTTTTAAATCAAGTTCACGAATGGATGGATTAGTAAGTTTGAATAATGACATTTGTATAGATATTGATGCGTCTTGATGAATAGCCAACGTAGTTAGATAAGGTGCTCGATCTAATATAGCTTGCAATTCTGATTCCAAATTACCATCATAAGACGATAGAATAAGTGTCTTTAGTTTGTTTAAATTTGGAACAATTGACCAAAATTGAGTATTGTAGGGAAGTTTTATACAGAGGTATGTAATATTCGATAGACGAATGGTAGATGGGATTGGGTTATTGAAAAATGTGATATTATCGATCGTAGTCATGCAATTATAATATTTTCGATAATCATCATCTGAACATGTATATTTACATAGGCCCGAAAATGTTTCGTACACATCAGGCCTGTTAGAGAGAGTGTTAAGAGAAATGACTTGTTCTCCTATAAAACATCGGACAAACCATTGTTTTTCATAAATCCAAAATGAACTTCGAAATGAATCGAATAACTTCTCAGCTTCTTTTTGTATAATTTTCTGGTCACGAGGAAACCATCTCATTTTTAATCGAAATGTTTTCAGTATCGGTAAGTAATTACGAATGATATGTTCCCATTGATGACCATCGATTAGATTACGTCTTAGGTTGATCTCCAAATGACATAAATTAGGCATACTTTTCAAGAAATCTGGCATTGTCGAAGCGTTTATACGATAAAGAAAATACATATATAATTGAATTAGTTTTGAATGTAGAGAAGATATATAATTATTGTTGGGCAAACTCATAACTATCATCGATAGACGTTTTAAACGAGGTGTGTAATTAAACAATTGATTTATTTTATCCGATGAAAGTTCACTGTGAAATATTGTTACATGTTCAATTGATGTGGAGATAATTGTTGGTACCCTAAAATAGTATGATCTTGTAATAATATTGCGAAAATGACAATCAGTAAGTTTTGGTAAACTCCAAATCTTATCAATAATCAATGAAAAATTGGATTCTTCTTTTGGAAAATGACAATGGTTTACATTTAAACAAGTAAAATTGTTGAGTTGATGGCATTTGTCTAGGAGTTCGATGAATATTTTGTATGAACGAAGTTTGTGTATTGTTAATGATCGTAAACAAGTCATTTGATGGAATGATGATATATAAGAAACAAATAAATCACATTGTCCTATGATCTTGTAATTAGATATTCGTAGAGCAATGATTCGATTAGCAATCAATGGTAAATGTTGTTGACATATCAGATCGAAAGTACGTTTTGACACAGATTCAAAGTCGAAATGATAAAATCGAAATTGCTTGTAAAGAAGAGCATTAAAACGAGAATTGAGACCATAAAATCCATGAAAAAGATCTGTACCATTTAAATAAATGAATAAATCATCAAGTAAAATTTCGTTCGGTAACAATTCGAAATACATTATGTATCTTTTCTTCTTCACTAACAGTTATAAATAGATGATCATATAAAGTAAATGAAGAGTAAAATTAAACTTTTATAGTTTTTCTTTATTTGTCAATATAACACTTGGCCTGTTTAGCTTTATCTGCTAACTATCCAACGTATAGATAGACTATATAAATAGTACATGTTTTAATAACAAAGCATGATGATAGCTGCGAATCAGTTTAAGCGAACATTAAGTCTTGACGAATATGAAATGATCATGTATCGTGTCATTATTGGTTGTTTCAAATATCGCTATGCCTAGTCCATTTTGTCTGTTGATTTTGACCTGACGACTAGTCAGTAGAAACGGAAAACAATAAAAGAAGTAGGTGACGGACGATTCGAACATCGATCAGATGCTGCTACAAAAATTGAGGCATAGTCTTCCGAAAAATCTATTAAGATTACATATAATCAAGAGAATAAGAATATTTATTCTTTTTTGGATATTCAGTGAAATAAATGAAAATAAAAATAATACTTAGGTCGTACAAAAAGTTCCCAGATTGCTATTGGCAATTTTATAAACTAATTAGCATTGAAGTGTTTTTTGCATGAATAAATAGTGGAATGTCTTGTATATAATAGTATATATACTAAATCTATTTTGGACTTAGTTACAATATTTTTTCAGATAAACTTTAATTCGAACTAAAAAAAAATTTTCAAAAATGGATAATGCATACAATCGATATTATATAAAAATTCGAACTATTTTGGGGATAAATCCAAAGACAATTCACGAAGAACTTGCAACAGCTTTGGGACCCAAGGCTCCATCATATCCAACAGTTGCAGACTGGGCAAAGCGTTTCCGCGAAGGAAGAGAAGATGTCAATGATGATCCTCGATCTGGTCGTCCGGTTTCCGAACTTACAGATGAAAATATTGAATTGGTACGACAGGTTATCAACAATGATCCACATTCAACTTATGATGATATTATAGTTGAGACATCTCTCTCTCGTGGTACAATAGAAGAAATTATCCACAATTATCTCAAGATGAAAAAAGTTACATCTCGTTGGATACCCCATCAACTGAATGATGAACAAAAGCAAGAACGAGTTTGACTTTGTCGTGAAAATTTAGCAACATTTCGTGATGGTTTCTGGCGATTATGTGATATTATTACAGGAGATGAGACGTGGATTTACCATAGGCAGATTCATCACAAGTCAACAAACAAAACCTGGATTGGCGAAGGTGAATCACCACGTACTATCGTTCGTCGAAGCAACTTTGAACCAAAAAATTTATTTTCTATATTTTTTAAATCAAATAGTCCTGTTCTTATACATTGTGTTGATAAAGGCAAGACCATAGATCACAACTATTATACAGAAAATTGCCTCAAGCCTGTTGTCAAAGAAATACGGGAACAAAGAAAGTCAAATGGTACTAAAGGTATAAAATTGCTTCACGACAATGCTTCACCCCATCGTCATCAAGATGTTATTAATTATTTAACAGAAGAAGATATCAATATAATGCCACATCCATCATATTCACCTGACCTTGTACCGTGTGATTATTGGCTAAATGATTACATCAAACAGAATTTAACTGATCAACCAAATGAAAAATCATTGGCTCATGCGGTTTCCAAGCTAATAAAAAATATTCCAGAAGAAGAATTTAAAAAAACTTTTGACAAACTATTAGAGAGGATGGAACTTTGTATAGATAATCATGGGTGACTATTTTGAACATTTAATAAAATAAAACTCGAACTTTCTCTTTGTCTTTATGTTTTTTTTAACAATCTGGGAACTTTTTGTACGACCTAAGTAAGAGAGGGACTTTCATTGATTGAAGATATTTCAGAGTAAATGTTTTCCATATCAATAAAATACAGTTGAGCAGGAACGATTCCATCGTATTTCAACTTATTTGATAACTGTAGAAATTCAAATATGTCACAGTATGATTCATTTTTTCCCTTTTTCTTTCTGTTCTCTGACTATGTCACGGTGGGAAGCCAGGTGGACATGTGCGAGAATATTCTGATCCAGAATCTAACTATTTGTGTAGTTGCATACGCTAACAAAAGTTTGGGGTGTGGGTGGGTGTGGGTGTGGGTACGAGTGTGAGTATTGATGATNAAAACAGAGGAAATTTTATATACTAAAAAGCATTGTATTTTGACTTTTTTGCTTCTATATCGGGGTTAAGAAGATGTATCATATATATAGTTTTGTAGAACAAGTCAAGCTCTGTCGATTGATATATGAGTCAATTTGAACAGGAAAAATTTTTCAGTCGAAAAATTAAAAATAACGAAAGGTCAATTTTTCGCACTTTCTTGTACCATTTTTAAGGGTACATCTAATCAGACGATTCTGGCCGGCCAGAGATAAACCTTTCGACTGTAATATTTTGGGTTTATCTATAGGAGACAAGGACTGAAAACTCTGTAGGACCAAAACCAAAATCTGTTGGTCCAATTGTTTTCGCTATCTCTGGTGTTTTCATGGAGCGTCTCTTAAACATGGATACGACCTAACTGATGTTTTACACCATGCTTTACTGGTAGCAACGACATGAAATGACAACTAAATCAGACATCTGCTGGTAAACGGAGAAAATCCACTGAGATTTCATTCATAATCCTGCAAGTTTTCACAGTTAAACTAGATTGAAAAGAACATACCATTACATTATTTTCCGGTGCGTATAAAGGCCAATAAAACGTGTACGAGTATCGTCACAATGAAGTTATCGTCCGACATGATGATGACGACTCCACCACGCAAATGATCTTTATATTCAATTCAATGGAAGAACTACAATAATCTATGAGCCATCTACTAAGTGAAAGAGCATGTTACATACTTGATTTCAAGCTCAGATTAAAAAAAGGTAAAAATAAATCAGAGAAATACAAAGCTGTAGACAAACAATTTATAAAAGTTCTCTTTAGGACACATTGAACGTTGCTATTCTCAATGAAATCATGCCTATTGATATACATGCGTATTTCAGGAAAAAAAGATCGGTAAGTTATAAAGCATTCTTCAAATATTTACTCATCAGTTGGAGACGATAAAATTGTTTGTATTTTGTGCAACATATTTCAATCCAGACAGAAAGTGTAATTGTAGCTCCTTTGTCTTCAATGTTTCGGTGAGTTCATCCACTGAACACTTCACTTTGTTTGACGGTGATGGTCTTGGTTTAAAATACCACTTCAATGAGACAAGACGCTTTTAATCTTCAAATGAGAAATCATGACACAATACCCCAAGAAAATATTGATGTGAAGTTAAGACAAACATCCCAAATAAAGAGTACACGAATGAGATCAGTTTTCAACACATATCGATAAATGGCTCTAGCAAAGAGTAACATTGATGGGCTTGACCAGAGCTATCAACCCCGACAGATGTTGCTTTCGACCGAGTTCTTACAAGCTTTCTTGCCAGAGAATCATTCGAAGTGATGCGCCACTTCTGAGTTCATGTCTCGAACGACGTGATCAACCGAATCGATAGAAAATATAAAATCTCTCTCTCTCTCAGAAGACAAGATCATGATCTTTTACTATGAAAATTGAAAGGGCTTCTTCACAAGAAGCCTTCTACTGAGGGTTAGTTTTTCGCTGACCTCTGCTTAGAATCTCCAAGATTTCTTGGGTACCAAAACAAGGCATTTTCAGCAACAAAATGCTAGAAAAGCAGACTTTTCACTAGAAAAAAAAGTGAATTTTTATAGCAAAAGCTGTTAGCGCAATCCCTTACGGGATTAAAAATGTGAAGCACGATGTATCTGTTGTTACTAATTAAATCGAAATCGTTTTGTTCCATTTCTTTGCAATACATTTGTAGCTAACCGTTTATCTGATGCTTTAGAACTACAGTTTGTCTGTCACGGTCTGTGATGGGTGCAAAGTCTGTCTGTCACGGTCTGTGATTGGCCCAGACCCTATCTGTCACGGTCTGTGATGGATGCAAAGCCTGTCTGTTACGGTCTATGATGGGCCCAGACCCTGTCTGTCACGGTCTGTGATGGGCCCCGACCCTGTCTGTCACGATCTGTGATGGGCCCAAAGCCTGTCTGTCACGGTCTGTGACGGTTAATTAGTTAATTAAATAATAATTAATTAATTAATTAAGATGTCTGTAACGATCTGTCACGGGGGAATTACCTGTCTGTAACGGTCTGTGATGGGGGAATTACCTGTCTGCAACGATCTGTGACGAGGGCAGCGTCTGTCTGTAACGGTCTGTGGGGGGGGGGGGTCCACATTTCTACCCTAAACGCTTCAACACTCCTTTCAGGTCGTGTTTCACAAAAACTGTTGGATTTTCGACAAAGGGCTACGCAAAGCCCATGGTCTTCTATTGCCCCTTCTGAAATGTTTCTTGTGATTCACCTTCTAATGTTGGATGGCCTGATATTTTGATAGAGATAAACTAAAAAAAACTGCTCGAAAAAAAGAAATTTACAGAAGGCATTGCATTGAATAAAAAGCAATAAGTAATATCTCGACTCTCTAGAAAGACTATGATTGTCATGAAAGTAGATTTGGTTACCAACTCGAAGACTCCTGGACGTTGACCGATGTGAGAATGAATTTGATTAGTGTTAGGAAGTAGAGATAAGCATCATGCACCAATGTTCGATATGGGTCAATTTTTTGTGATCCGATCCGACTTAATCTGAGGTCAACCATTTTCTTTGTGACCTGACGCTACCTGACTTGAGCCTGACTCTGTTGTTGACCAATTGTTTCTTTCTCTGGAGAAAAATAAACTTATCAATCCTTTTTTCGTCCTTTTATGTCGTAGTTGAAAACAAACGAAATGCCCTTCATATCTCGCCGATATTAAGCAGTAACGACAACACGGGTATGTGATAACGTGTTTTCTTATTTGTCTTTCTATTATTATGTACACAACCTGCGACTTTTATGTCACTATTGAACAGACAGTGCACTCGCTATGCATTGTTGTCCAAAGTCATCAAAAAAAATGGTCAAGTAGAAGAAAAGCTCTTGCGATACATAACTTCTTGTTTTACTAAGCTTGTGCAAGCTCTATTATTGAACTTTGAAATGAAAAAAAACATTCCAAGTACCTTTTGCGTCTGCAAAACGTTCAAATTACAGATCCACTTCGAAGTCCAAAAATGTGTTTCGTAACCCGCCCCGATCCAATCCGATATGAACTATTTTTTCTCGTGACCTGGCCCGTGTCGGACACTATCATCCACACTCACCCACTCGTAAGGTAGTTAGTGAATAACAATTTTGGTAACGAAATTCTTACTTTAGCTAGAAAACAGAGCGAATGACGTTTTAGCCGCTCATGCGCAGTTACTTTCGGAAGAATTTATATTGAATTTTTTGAGTGTCTGCGATTTGTAGTGTTTTTTCCTACCCTAGTAAGATCATGCAATTCAAAGAATGAATTTCCAAATAACTGGTGTCACGTGCTGTGTGGATCAATATTGAGCATAAACTATGTCCTATTAGAAAAAGGTTTAACCTCTCATTTAAGGTTCGCTTTCTTTGTTGAGAAAAAGACAATATGTTCTGCTCATCATACAGTGTCTTACATAAATAACTTCACAATAAAAAATGTGCCTACTTGATTACTGTAGAGTATAGACATTCGAATTTCTGATCTTCAAGTTATATATGCAAAACCTTGTATATAACGATTCCTTCGTTTTTTGAAGTGATTTAACGATGCAGATCCTTAGTTACGAATGGTCAAAGTCGTTGTTTAATATTAGTCGATAATAGATATTTTGCTTGTCGGTAACAATCCTAGAATAGAAGCATAATTTCAGAGCTTAAGCGTCTACTCCGACACAGAGCACAAATAGAATTGTTTTGCTAAGTTGCAGAGATGAAATCTGTCTCTGTTATTCTTTGGCTTTCATCTCGCCACTTTTTTCTGCATACGTATTCAGATGTTATCAACGAACGACGTTATCTTATAATACGTGGACTTGAGTTCTCTTGTAATATCTCTCCACATGGTAATGCAAGACTCTTTGTGCAAACATAGTCAAAGTACAAAAATAAAGCCTGTCGAAGCGATTAACGTTCGTCTGAAGAAATCAGTCGCGAAAGCACCAAGAACACGTTATTTAGATAGTTGAAAATAAACAATTTTCTATCAATTGAATGCAAAAGAATTTTTGTCTTAATCTAGTAATAAAACACACTGTCAAATGGTAGACATTCAACTTACTGCCAATAAAGCATCTTCTTTGTTTGACTAACGTTTCAAGCAAAAATGAATGTATACACTTTTCTATTCGAACTGATTAATGCATGCAATGAATATGACTGTCAGATATTCATATCCACATAGGTCATGAGATTTGATTAGAACAAATGAAAAATCAATGTATGGAATTATTGATTCGATGAGTTATATTAATTTCCAGGAAATTTCTTTATTGCACACGTTCTTAGAATAGGCGCACAATGGCTCTAATGATCATAACCGGCATAATGGGTCTAATGAGCATCACGAGTACAGAAACCTGTGTATCCTTTCGTGTCGCCTACATCGAGAGAGATGACCTCTACATGTGTTTACTTTTCACTGCACATGCCAGTGGTCAAAATGGCATTGTCTTGCTGAAATTTTTTCCTACAGCATCATATGAGATGGTTATGTCTTAATGATGATTTCTCAAGCTTGTAGATTATCGGTGTGAATTGTTCTACTATTTATAAGCTGTTGTTGTTGTTTCGCCAATTGATAATAACTTGCAAATAAAAGATACATTAACTTTAAGAAGTACTATCAATGTGAAGCTACTATAACGAGCAAGCATATAATGCATAAAACTGACCAATAGAAAAAAAGATACAAAATAGCGACCAGAGAGTGTACAGAATACCCACATACTTTCCAAAGTTATGGAAAGCACATTGATTCAAAAAGAACTAAAACTGCAGAAAACAAAATCCGAATAGATTTTCATGAACTTGCACAGCGTGTGGCAATCCGAAAAAAAAAGAATCCCACCAGCAAATACAAATTATGAAACTAAGACATATGAATTCACTTTTTGGGGTGGGTGTGGATGCCGGTGCAGATGGAAAGAAGACCAAAATTCAACCACACCCATTCTCGTATCCGGGATCCGTCTGTTCCCCCTTGCGAATAACTGGTTGTTTGACCTATAAGCAGCATCTGATCAACTCCTGAACTGTTCTCAGATTAATCTGATCATGTCACCTTCAGTATCTAAGGATCACAAGCACTGGCTAAAAGCTAATATCAGCCACCACATCTTTCGTTGTATCGTTTATTTCAAAGAATCTGTGAAAATGAACCTTCATAAATGTGTGTAGAGGTTGAAAACAACGTGTGTTTATAGAGGAAGAAGCACCTAAGGTAAGTGCGTGAAGCTATTCATTTTTAAATAACAAAGCAAGGCAATGTTTTTAGATGCGACGCAGCCATTATTTACTGTCGTAAATGCAATATTTACAGTAGATTCTCAAAATTACATGCCTGAAGTAAAAAAATCGACGTGGTGATTTATTCAATAACTGATCAGTTAGTCAGAGTAGCGATAGTGACTACAAAAAGCTTCCAACTTTATTTATTCAACTTTATTTTTCAATTGCGCCCATTTCAAACTCTGATTACATTTTGTAAGACGCTACGGTCGCAGTGGTGATGCTACTTTTCAAGAAACCGATGTTGAAATCGAACAAAAGACTGAACATTCATTCTCAAAAGTTATGCAGTCTGTAGTTGTTTTCTCGGTGGCTAGTGTGTGCCATTTTTAACCATATATCAGAGACAGGGAATCCAAATTCGGATTGACATTAACTTCACACCTGAGATTTATCGAGATGAATTTTGTATTTTACCTATCGCTGCCAACGTGAAGTTAACTCTGACTGGTACTGGTTTGCTTATGTATTATGAGAAATGAGAGGGTGTAGGTGTGGGTGTACAGTAAAATAACAGACTCATATAGACATCCACACCCCACCTCACCGACATCAAAACCCACCCCACAGCCACATCCACCCATGAGTTGGATATATTGTTATTTATGAAACGAACAACAACAACCCGTTGAGTATCTGTACAGTAGATGTAGTTAACGCATTGTATTTTAGTATACCTAATAATTCTATTGGATGATTTTTTTTTATAATTTTTTTTCTATTTATAAATATCTTAGGAGTTTTTTTAATAGTTTCACTTATTCATTAAAACAAAACACATAATTTTTGTATAGATGGTACCACCATTCTGCTTGATTATGAGTTTCTCAGAACTGATTCAGCATCACTAAAATAACTTTGAATTTATACATGAAAAAAGAGATTTTTTTGTAAAAAGAATTATGCCATGGAAGTGTCATGTTAGTTTTAATTGTTTATTATTAAATTACCAAGTTATTTATTCTTTGAGATCGAATTGAATTTGCGCAGAATAATTTTTTCCGTAATCCTTTTTTATCTTGCCAAATCTCTTGATGTCCTAATTCTGATATCTTGTTCTTCTCTTATACTCTGACTAATATCCCCTCATCGTTTCGTTTGTTTCACCTTGACTATTATTCCTTCGCTCTTTCGTGATTATCCTTTCTTCTATCGAATTACCCTTGCTTTTGTTTTGCTCTGATTATTATTCCTTCATCATTTCGTCTGTTTTGTTCTCGCTATTATCCAATCATTCATCCCTCTGTTTTACCCCAACCATTGTCACTTTACCTCTTTGTCTGTTTTGTTCATACTATTATCCATGCGTCCTTTCGTTCGTTTTACTTTGGGTATATCTTTCTCTTTTTTAGTAATAGTGCTACAGATATAGGTGTAGCCTCCTTTTACCTAGTCCTTGAAAAGTTACCAAAAATTATACTTTTGCTTCCTTCCTCCCAGTATTTGTTGTTGTACATATTTTACCCTAAATAAGTATCTCATTCATTCGCATCACTCTACTTGGCATTTCTTCATAACTTTATTCTCCAGATTTACGAAATTTTGTCTAGAGAAGTGTCGCCGTTATGGTGCAAGAAGTCGAAATACTTAACATACTCTCATATCTCTTCCTATTTAGTAGTATAATGTAATATTGAGTTAGGTTGTTGTAGGTATTGATAAAGCAGGATTCATTTCTTACTTGTGGTTAGCATTTTTTCGACAGAAGAAGATATTAGAGTATGTTAAGTATTTCGACTTCTTGCACCGTAACGACGATACTTTAGAAAAAGTTCATAAATCTGGCAAACGAAGTTATTGAGAAATGTTAAGTAGAGTGATGCGAATGAATGAAATACATATTTAGGGTAAAATATGTAAAACAGCTGATGCTGAGAGGAAGGAAAGGAAACTACTCCATATAAACCCGTTAATATAAAAAGGAGTAGTATTTTATATGGATAAAACGCGTCGTAGTGAACGCGTTTTGGTTGATATGTAGCCGTTTTTAACGATAAAAGAATGCGTTTGAACGCGTTTTAAAACCTGCGTTTAACTTCTTGCGAAAACATGTGAATATAAAAATAAACGCGTTGAAACGCAAACTTTAAAAAAACAAACTTTTGTGGGTAACCCTATAATAGGGCTCATTTGATGTCAAGCAGATTTGCTTATATATTTTATCATCAATTAGACACCATCACATACGAATAAGAAGCACACAGGGAGACCGACATTTTAATAATAAATATATAAGATTACACACGAGACTAGTCAGCTCACATTAAACTACTAAATGATAAGAGACACCTATGAGCTCATCCAGGAATCAAGACACTAGTCAAAATGTTATTTTTAGATTTAATATGCTCATCTAAATTAGTGTTGTTTGAAAATTCTAAACCTCAGTTTTTATTATTTGACACTGCTATATTGAAGAGTTGGGCAGTATCGACCTTTTAGCACTGACCAATCTTTGTTAGAAAAACACTGGAAAAACGTATTCTGTAAAAGATATGCCTTTTTGTTCTGTAAGGGATTATTTAAGCTTTTTATGAAATATAAAAAAAAAATAGAAAGCTGAAAAAATGGGTTTTTCGTATATAATATGATATTTAACAAATCAAGTTTTATATCAGCAATATGGGCCAAAGGCACCTCTTTTCATTAGTACAAAAACGTTCACTCTACAACATTGAATTTCCTACCGTGTTTCAAAGTTAGAAAGTGCCAAGATGAATTTTATATATTTTATTCAACTTTGTATTCTCTTGAAAATGATAAAAATATTGACAAAACAAATAGTACCTTCAACTCGAAAGGGGGCTCGTTTTCTCCCCCTATTTAATAGCATTTAAACAGAAAAGCATTTACAGCAATTTTTTATTCGAAAAAGTGGTAGCTTTAAACATGATGAATTATGTTAGACATATGTAACAGGCGCGTTTGGAATTCAATTGTGAGTAAATGGTTATGGCGTAATTTTCGACTATTTTTTTGATAGTAGATATTTAGTGTTCAAAAGTCAGTCGTTGCTAACTTTACTATAGAACATCCAAATGTTCTAAAAGTTTTGGTTTTGTGGTTTCAGACTATGACCTTTCGAACGCACATAAAAAATCAAAAAATTAATTTTGACCAGTGCCTCGTATACTGAGGTGATCATTGATCCTCTAATGAACATTCTCTTAAATATAGGTATAGTGCTTATATCCATCAGCAGAAACAAACAATTTCAATCTTTTTATGAATTTTATAAATAAATATGTACACGACAAAAAATGCTAAGTAAAAATTAAATCGGCTATGAAAAAAAACTCTTATTGACAATACAATCGGTAGTTTCTATTATTACTAAATTCAGCTTTTCTTTGTTTTTCATTATCGATGACACATATACAGTGTGTCGCACTTCGGGTTTAAAATAAATATTAAAAAAGAAAATTTTATTAAATGTGCGACCTCTTTATCTTACTAGAATGGGTTATTCTGTTTTCTTTAATAAATAGCAGCAATTGCAATGATTCATTTCTTTTACTTCCCTCATCTGTCTTCCTTTTTTCAGCTTTCATTGACATTATTTTTTTTTATTCTGTCATTTTTGGGTTGTATGATTTTTATGTTATAGTAATACTTCTATGTTGTAAAGCACGATTTGAGGGAGTACTGAAATGTATAGAGTAGAAATGTGCACCCATTTTCTCATACCTCTTCCTCGCCAAATCCTCACACACATATTGACAACCGATCACAGACGATAATGGGTACTTTGACAGATCATTAGAGACGGTGGCAGGTATGGTTGCGATATCGCAAAGGCTATAACTAAAAACTATCACTGATCATGACAAATCAAAATCAAAGTTCAAATTCATTACTATTTGTTTATCCTCATTGTAATAGATTGAGGTTAATATCTTTTTGCGACTGACATGCAATAATAGTCTCTAGGAAGTTATAAACCGATACATAATTTACAATGCTGATAGGTCCATTGTGTTTTCTATTCTAACTCGAGGTGAGTAACTCAAACTCCGAGTTACCCATGTCTTCTTCAAACGCGTGCATCTGTGAAAGTACTAATAACTTATTAAGTTTTTTCAGAACGTATAAATCTAATCAAAAACATTCTCCTTTAAATAAAAATGCAAGCAGTCAAATGTGTTGTCGTCGGGGATAAGTAAATATTCCTTATCGGATTTTAAAAATCAAGAAGTCTTTTGTGCTCTACATACATTTTTAGCACCGCAGACAAAACTCTCTTATTAACATCTTTCACAAGGGATATATTTCCTGGTGAATATATACCAACAGTGTTTCTTAATTATTTAGTTAATATTACGGTTGATGGAAAATCTATTAATCTTGGCTTATGGGATACAGTAAGAAAATTATTTTCTAATTAATTTCTCCTTGAATTATTTTTGTCGTTTTAGGCTGGCCAAGAGGGTATGATGGTTTATTCAAGAATATATCTGCTTTCTTTCATATTAGATTTTCTTTTAAAGATTATGATTGTCTCCGTCCATTATCTTACGTAGAAACTGTAAAACAAAAAGCAGTTTCAAAATTCCATATGACAACTCCTCTTTTTGTTTTAGGATGTTTTCCTTATTTGCTTTTCTCTCGTTAATCTAGCTTCGTTTGAAAATGTTCGCAAGAAAGTAAAGCATTATCTTATTTTGAGATATGTTTTATATTTATCTATTGTTAATTTAGTGGTATCCTGAAGTCAAACATCATTGTCCTCATACGCCAATTATTTTAGTCGGTACAAAACTTGATTTACGTAATGATACAAGTGTCATTGAAAAACTTCGAGTAATATATTTTAAACAAATTTTCTTTTGTTTAGTTTTCTTTTGAAATATGTAGCAACAAAAATTAGCACCGATAACAAGTCTTCAAGGTGAAGAAATGCGCAAAAAAATTGGTGCAGTTAAATATTTAGAATGTTCTGCATTAACAAAAGAAGGTCTTAAGACGGTATTTGAAGAAGCAATTCGTGCTTGTCGACATTCAAAGCCAACTGCTTGAATTTGATAAGTCAATATGAAATTTTAATTTTTGAATAGCTGTATATATATATATTTGTTTTTGTAAAAATGAAGAAAAGAACGGTGAATATAAAAAATAGATAAGATCATTTTATTATTTGTAAAAAAAAGGAAAAAAAAAGGAATGAGGCTGTGGGTATGAGACTTGTCTGTTCTCTGGCCTGCATCCCCACCTTTAACTTTATGATAAAAGTAGAATGTATTCGCGATAAAAATAGCTTCAGTGAAGGAATAGGTGTAGGATGAAACATAACTGCATGGCTCTAATCAAAAACGTGAAAATTAAAAGATCTTCTTCAATACTTAACAGAATACCATCGCTTTGAAGTCTTCTCAGTAGCTAACGTCAAGCTGATTTCTTTGCTCATTGACTACACTAAGTGGGGAAAAGCTGATTACAATCTTGACTATCAGAATATCATCTTTCCTGCGTAGATATTCGTCTTTGTCAAAAACATAATTGCCATTATGTTTAGTGATGACAGCGAATAGTATATGGAGAAACAATCTAAATTCTTAATCTAATGATGAAAAAACAGAAAGCAATCAAATACAACCAACACCACCCATGTAAAGAAAAACGATGAAAAAATCTGATTTTAAAAAATTCATTTTTTTCTGATTAAAAACCGACTTTTACATGGGCTATTATTGACGCTCCGGCAATCAAATTTTCCTCCATTGACTATAGTTGTACTTTGAATGAATTTATACGCTCAGCAAGGTATAAATGTATGAATCAAATTTGTGTGGTAAAAAAAATCTTCCAGTAAGGGAAAGTGGCATTAAATTACTCAAGAAGAAATCCGAAATAAGTACAGTAGTTATTTTAAAAAGAAAAACAAGCACAATAAAATCATTGCATAAACGTATTTCTCTTTTGAGAATTAACTATTGTATTTATTTTGTATGTATGTTTCATTCCCCAGCTTAATCAAAGACGATGTTATACTATTATTGTTTACATTAACTATATGTTTAACTAAAACGAGTTATAATTCATCCCTTTTCTGTTATTTGCTTACCCAACGCCTTAAAAAATAAAAAAAGTCATTTTTCCTGACGAAGCTAGCGTATTGTTTAACAGTTTTATTTTCAAATTCATCGATTAAAATGATTTGAAAAAAATCAAAGAATATGCCAGAGTCATCATCACCAATGCCATTGCTTTCAGTTATAAAATTACTAGTGAGCATTTGACACCATTCAATAGTTGGCAAAAGGAAGCATTTTCCATTGGCTTAAATACTTGTTATTAATGGAAATAAAAATGAAAAGGTTCTAAGTTGAGAAATACATGCTCGAAAAACTTGTGAAAATTGAAGGAAGTTGAAAGCAGGAAATTGATGGTCCGATTTGAACTTCTATAATTATTTCTGATCGGAATTTTAAAAATTGAGTTGTATGTCATTTTCCATAAGAAAACCGAGCGTGCGGTTGCGGTGGGTGTGACTGTCGATGTGGGCGCATCCGATTGAATATTAATTTCATCCAGACCCACACCCTTATACAGACTTTTCTGTATTATAAACAGTGTTTAAGATGAAATTTACTATGTTAATAACAAAACGATTGAAAACTTGATAAATGAAGAGAAACTGGCTGGGACTAATGGTTTTCTTATCAACCACAGATGCTCATCGGTTCTAATGAAACATCGACAAAATGGGACAAAGTAAAATTTCAATTTCCACTAGTAGCAGATAAAATCGCCTATTATCTTGATTTCGTCTAGCAAAAAATGAAAATTTTCGTGGTCGAGGGTGTGGGTGTGATGTGTTGGTGTAGGTGGGCGTGGGTGTGGTTGGATTTTGAATGTTGGTCTTCATCCCATCTGCACGCGCACCAACACCCCACACCCATCCCTACACCCACGCCTCACACCCACACCCACACTCACCCTTACACTCACACCCGCACCCTCAATATATCACGTTTGATAACAAGCATAGGTTTTAAATGGTGAAAAAAGCGATCAGATGATTTTCGAGTTATCCCCAAGAGTCTACTTTGATCCTATTAGAAGTGGTTTAGTCTTTTGAGATAATTATTATTTGTATGCAACAAGTAACAACGTAAAACGTGGAATACTCAATCGGACTACGAAACTATGCTACTCTGATTAACTTATAACTAATCAATGTTTCGTCATAAATATGACCAATTTTTCGACACCATCCTATCTGAACGGACTCTTGCAACTATAGTTTGATCTAAATGTGTGCTGCTGATAAGCACGTTTTGATAGAGATGCATACTGCTAAGCACTATGAAGTGTAGCAAACATTCATATAAATAAGGACCTTTTATGAAGGTTGATGAGAGGAGCTTGACTTCAGTTCAAAATTCTGATCTTTCTAAAAATCTTCTATTTCTTACTTGTACTTGTTTAAGTGAAGTGGCTTGTTCTACGTTCTCACTTGGTTTTGTACCATGTTTTAATGTTAAATGACCGAAACCCATACAAATCGCTGCAGCACCTCTATAAGAAAAAATTAATCGATAGATTAAAAAAAATTATAAAAAAAAAGATATTTTCTTGCTCTCGGTAAACTCTTTTTTTCTGGTAAAAGCAAATAAGATGATTGAAAATCAATATCAATATCTAAAACTTTGATTTTTTCAATATTATATTTCATTAATATATAAGAACGATGTTTAGCATCTGTGTATGTTGAATAAGCAGCTTGTTTAACACTAAAATAAATTTATTTCAAATAGAATTTATTTTTCAATTATAATTTACCCTTGAAGATTACGTTGAATATTTTGTTCAAAATATGCAGTTAATTTATTAAGGGTTCGGGTGTGAGCATAAAGAGGAAAGACCAACATTCACATTCGCCCACACCCTTTCTCAAGTGGAGACTTTGTTACGTGGTTATTTGCGTTCGCGCTTTGACCATTCTAAGTAAATCAAAATATGTATTACTTCTTTTGAAACGAGTTCAATGAGCTGTCTCACGGTAAGTGAGTATGAGTAAAGAAAAAAATAACTTACAGTCACAACACATACACAATCTCATTGTTTTCCTGGATGTCGTTCCTTCTTATTATGAACTTCAATCATTTTAAACTGCAATACATTATACAATATTATCACTTTAAGAAGAATTATCAGCTTTCGATTCTTAGTCATTATCAATCCTTCTTCGTCTTTTGTCGGCTATTTCGATTTGTTTAAAACCTTATGGTCAACGATAAAAGAAAGTTTATTTTATTGATTATTTATGTTATGAAACAAGAATTTTGACAATCTATATTAACTAATCAATTATAAACATGACAAAGTATTTTTTTTTGTTTAAATTTAAATAAATTTAACATTATGTTAAAGATCAAAAATATGTTGATAAAATTCAATCAGAATCTGAGCAATTTTTGTTGGATATCATTAAACGATCAATACCATAAAATCCAAAAGATATTTATTTAGAAAAGTCAAATAAAATGTCCCTTAAAAATAATAGTTAATCGATCACGCAAAATAAAACAAATTTGAACTTGAAATTTTTATGAATACGCTTCATCCAAAAATGACGTGTAGAAATCTTTGAAATGTGAAATTTTATCGAAAAATTTATCATCATCATTCATGGCTTTTTAAAAGAGTAACTGCTGGAAAAAGTCTCGCTATGTTATAGTATGTCTACAGCAAATAAATTTATATTTGTTTTTCCTCTACAATGAATCGTATCAATCAAATATCGTAATAGAACTCGATAAACATGTTCTTGTTATCATTTGAAATTGTGCTAACACAACAGTACCATGACCAAAATAACGCGCATTATTCTCTTTCTTCAAAAGAAAAAGATATATCTTGCGCCTTGTGACACAATGAAATTACTGTCGATCAAAAAGTTTCTTAGTGTAGTCCTGTTGGAACTGAAATGTGGAACTCACGTGTATCCTTTAGTATTATTATTGAACTATTTAATACAAAATAGATAAAGTGAAAAGTATCTTGTAAGTTATAGCTGTTTTCGTAGATAATCGATTACCCGAGTGAGGATTTCTGTTATTTATGTCTGCATTTTGAATGCAATATGATTTTCTTTTTTATTGTGGGCACTTTATTTACTTTTATTTTATTGTCATTCGCTCGTTGTTTTTCCATAATTTGATATTAGATATCTTGATCATTTTATAATTTTTATGCTAATCATATGATAACTTTGAGAAATCAATTAAGTCTTACCCACCACCTTTGGTATCTTGAATATAAATTTTGATCTGCACCAAATTAGCAACTGTACTATTTAGAGCATTTACAAACGTTTTCCAACCATTCAACTGCCGACAAAAGGCTTTGCTATGCCCTAAAACAGTTTAAGTCATGTTGTAAATGTCGTTCAGCAACGTTTTCCATTCCTAACAAACTCTTAGATGGGCGTGTGACGCGTATTGTTCGCAATTACCTAAGGTTGTAAAAGGCAGGAGAGCAGGAGCTGGAAAACTCAGACTTAAAACTGAAACTTCATGTTTTCTTTGAGAATATACGTCAGTTCACATAACATCGAGAACAACTAACACATATGTCGGCTAACAGTCTCTATTAACTTTATCGAATCGTACTGTAATTTTTCCTGTAGATATGAAACAGTATTCTCCATCTAAAACACGAATTTTATTACATTTCCATATATCCTTTAGCGATCTTTTCTTGACTGAAAATATCTCTTGATAGGCAGCATGTGTTGATCTAGGTATATGTGCATCCAATGAAAACATAACACATCTTACATATCATCAGTGATAATGCTTCTATCGAGATCATACACAACATCTCTTCTTATCCTGTGAACACAAGATAAAGAACTTGTAATAATGTGCACCGAATTGAATCTTGCTTGCGCAAAGGCTGTTGTTGTCAGAGTATTGAAATTTTTGGTAAATCTGCTTATAAAAAAAATTATCAATTACTTTGAAACTACTTTCTCGTTCATTCAGAAGCCTCGGTTACCTCAGTCTCTTCTT